TGTAGTTTCTAACAATGCTTGGCATATCTGTGCAATCATTAAATGCCGTCTTGATTCCTCTATCAAATTATTAGGTATAATGTACGGTTGATAGATTTTCTTATATAATTAACTGGTTTCATAAGTAAGACTTGAAGAAGATACCCGGTATAGAGATTAGATTCTGTAGTGGTATTTGTTGTAAAATATTGCCTGTTGGGATGGAGTCTGTCATGATGGTTATTAGTGTAGTGCTTTGCTTAGGCTGGACCTACACTCCATCGAACATGTAATTTCTCCATACCAGTGGGGTTTTTTTTTTTTTTTCATAGAAGAGGCAAACTTTAAAAAACAAATGAAAACATATATGTCCAGGGCTCTTTCCATTCTATGCCCAGATAATTTGGTCAAAGACATGCTTTGCTATTTTATTATATTTGTGATACCTTTGAGAATATAAAGAACTCTGGTAGCGTCGTGGTAATGAGTTGGGCTGCTAACCTCTCAAGGTCAGCAGTTAGAAACTACCAGCTGTTCCATGGGAGAAAGACTAGGCTTTCTGCTCTGGTAAAGATGTACCACCTCAGAAACTCTGTACAGGGTATTTGAGAATAGGAGGCCTGGTGGCACTTTAGATTAAGCGTTTGGTTCTTAATTGCAAGATCTGCAGATCAAACCCACCAATCACTCCGTGAAAGAAAGATGAGACTTCTGTGCCTGTAAAGATTTACAGTCTCAGAAATCCTGTACAGAGTTACTATGAGTCAGAATCAACTTGACAGTGGTTTCTTTGAGAATTTAATGAAAGCTGTGGATCAACGTCTTCTTGGAGAATTGTGTGTACACTAACTTTTATTATATAGAGTTTCATGATATTTATAGCCTTCATCTTTATTACAAGTCCATGGACCTATAGTAAATAACCCTCTGTAGTGAAGTTCCCCAAATATGAATTTAACGGCATGCCAGGATTTTCCTTAGAATTTAGATATGTTGGGCATCTTCCATGAATTAGTTGGCCATGGTATTTGAAGAAGATCACAATGCTATCACAGTTATCAAGGAAAGACGCCCAAGGAAAAAGAAGACCAAGCTTGTGATGGCTATGACTTAGTTTATCTTCTGGAAGAGTCCAGTTGAAGGCGCATCCCCCTAGAATAGTGGTTCTCAAGGGGAGCGGGCAGTGTTATTACCCTTCCCATCCAGGACATCTGTCTTGCTAATATTTCATCCTAATCTATTGTAGCTTTCAGACTAAAACAGATCAGGAAGAAAGGCCTGGTGATCTCTTCTTAAAATTAACCATTGAGAACTCAATGGAACACAATAGAATGTTTCCTGAAATAGTGCTGGAAGATGAGCCCCATAGGTAGGAAAGACAAATTACACAATGCTCACAGAGGACTCAAGTTTACCAATGATTGTGAAAATAACTCAGGACCATGTTGTACTTGTGGTCACCATGAGTTGGGATTTAGCATTCTGTCTGAACAGCAAAATACAGCAACGGCATGAGTCAATTAGTTTTATTATAAAGGACAGGGGACAGGGACAGTGCCTAACAAACTTGACAAAGTGCAATGAAACTAAACTAGTTTGGAATTATTATTTTTAAAAAAAAAATCACAGTGCATTACAGAACCTTCTGTATCTTTATACAGTGTATTGTAGCCTCTGAGTGAGTGAGTGAGAGAAAGAGTGATGCTTACATTACCAAACTTAAACCTTTGGGGTTAATATCACTTGTAGTATAATTAGGAGATGATCGTATCAATATAGCTGAATAGCAGAATTTTCCCTTTGGTATGTTTGGAAAGCTTTATAAAAGAAGTTGAAAAAATATGTGTTGGGGAGAGCTATTCCAGTCCTCACAAGATTTCATTAAATTCAGTTTTATTAAAATTTATCTCTTTATCCACTCTTAACTAATTCTTAGGAGGATAATAGCTGTTTTTATCATAGAGCTTATGCATTTCCTTCTTAGCCATATAAATAAGCACCATTTCTCCCTTTTGGAATGAATGAAAGGAAGAATGAATGTTGTCACTGTAAAGACAGTTGCTTCTTGTACTGTCTACAGGGACTTCTGACTTTTTGGCTTCTCTCCTGAGTAAAGAAAATATTAAGAATAGCTTTGGAAGAGTCAGTCTCCTACTTTTCAAAAGTTTCAGTTCAAAACACATTTATATACTTACATATTTCCTGGGATACCTGGATACTGTTTTGTCACCTTTCATCCTCTTAACTTCCCATTTCTTTATATATCTACCTTTCATGTTGTCAGTTATTCTTTCTCTCCTCTTAGAACCCAAGACACTGGGACAGTAGGATGAGCACTAGACCTCAATGTCAGTTTGAACTGCAAGGTTGGTGGTTCATACTCACTAGCCGCTCCTTGAAACCCTATACAGGGTCTCTATGAATTGGAAACGACTCGATGGCACACAACACCACCAAAGTCACACCAGGAGACGGTGTCCTGAGTCACTGTTCCCATGTCGTTCATTCCCCTAAGAAACTCTATCAGTTTTACCAATCCCTAGGTCTCTCAAGTTAGAAGTAAAATGACATGTTTTGCTGTGTCTTGCCCCCTTCTTCCCATTCAGGGTTATTTACTGCTGCCACTACTCTAGCCTGCTTTACAGTTTTACTGAGGAATCCACTTGGTTTTTCCCATAGAAAGACAACTGTTAGAAAAGTCAGAGAGGAGAATACGGGGGGGGGAGGGGGGTGGGGGGAGGTGGAGTAGCCTCTGGATAGAGTAAGTGAATATTTTTTGGGCACTATAATTATCCACAGCAGTTGCCCTTATCCCCTGGGTAAAATGCCTTACTCAAGATCTCAAGATCACATACACACTTTTGAGTAAGTGACTATATCAAGACTCATGACCCTCTTTTTGGTTTTAAAGCCTTTAACTTTCCTACTACATTCATGTCATGCTGGGTAAGGTGGAGGGTCAGAGAAAAAGAGGAAGACCCCCTTTTTCAACCAGGTGACATCATAGATGGTGTCAAGTGTGGCAGCAGTAGTGAGGTTGGCCCAGGATCGGACATTGTTTCGTTCTGCTGTGTATGGGGTCGCTATGAGTCGGTTCCGACTCGATGGCACCTGACAACAACAACAACAACAACAACAACTACATTGTAGTACCTCCCTGATCAGAAAACTGTATGACCTGTAGAGTTGCCAGTATTCATTGATGAGCTTCCTGCCATTACATACATTGGGTATTTTCAGATGGGTTGTTTGGAAATACTGAATGGGTCCCAACATTTTAGGACTTGAAGAACATAAAGGGGGAGGGGGGGGGAAGGAACATTTTGAAAGACGGGCTTATCCCCTAAAGACAATACACAGGATTTTATAAACAATGATAATTTAAACAGATCTACACGCTCCTTTTGAATAATTCTACGGGACAAATAGTATAGTTCAAATTTTGTACTCCAGAAGTGCTGATGTGGCACTGTAGGATAAGCACTGGACTACTAACTACATGGTCTGTAGTTCAAACCCACCAGCCACTCCTTGGAAACCCTGTGAAGGGTCGCTATGAGTTGGAACCAACCCAACAACACTAACAACAAGAACAACAGTCTTAGAATTAGACTGGAATGGATCTTGGAGCACAACTCTCCCAGTTTCCCTTCTCATTGTCAATTTAGATATTAGTTAGGAGCCCTATTGACTCAGTGATTCAAGTTCTCAAGGCCACCAGCCACCCCATAGGAGAAAGATGTGACAGTCAGCTTCCATTACAAGCCCATGATAGTGAAGTTCCCTAACGAGGAATTCAATGCCAATATTTCCCCTAGAATTTAGATATTTTGGGCATCCTCCATGGCTATGATGAGATCAGACTATATTTAAAGAAAATCACAATATTGTCACAGGCACCAAGGAGAGACGCCCAAATTCCATCAAATTTACAGTTTTGGAAACTCTATGGGGGTATTTTTATTCTGTCCTATAAAGCAGTATAAGGAGCTCTGGTAGCGTCGTGGTTACGAATCGGGCTGCGAGCCTCAGGGTCAGCAGTTCAAAACTGCCAGCTGTTCTGCGGGAGAAAGATGAAGCTTTCTGCTCCCATAAAGATTTACAGCCTTGGAAACCCTGTACAGGGTCGCTATGAGTCGGAACCGACTCCATGGCACATAACAACAACATAGAGTAGTATGGACTCCGCATGTGGCGTTGTAGGATCAATGCTGCGAACCACAAGGTTGGCAATTCAAACCCAATGGCTGCTTCTCAGAAACCGTATCCAGGGCCTCTATGAGTTGGAACTGACTTGACACCACTTAAATAGAGTACTATGAGTCAGAATCAACTTGGTAGGACCCGTAAAAGGGAAAATCCAATCATGTATAATTTCCAGTTAATGGGCATCTATTGAGCAACTAGGTCACCAGAAAGAATAGTTACACAGTGCTTCTTTGTGCAGTAAACACAAAAATCAAAAGCTAATGCATTCTCAAGGCATGCCAGATTGTTACTGGCCAAGTGCATCCTCCTTTTCAGTGAAAAGGTTGGGGCACCCACCATGCTTGCTTGAGGAGATTGCAAAGCCATTCCATAAAAACCAGGCTATTGAGGGAGGATAGAGGAAGAAGGCAGGGGGGCTTTGTCAGTTTTAGTTGCTGATGGTTGGGGTGGATTACTGAATAGCAGACACATTTTGTGCAATCATCAGGAACTTAAGAGGGTCTCTGGAACTTCTTGCCAGAGTTAAAGAATAACCGTGATGAGTGACATGGATCTTCAGCCCCACTCTCACGATGTAGCCTGTTTCCCAACATTTATACCTAAGTTTCATAAATACGGACTTTATGCTTACTTTCTTCCCAGCTACTAACTGATTTATGAGAAATGAACACCACGGCTCCCTTGACCCGAAGCCAAATACCTTTTGGGTTCGTGTTGGTAGACTCTAGTTTGAGTTCTCAAAATTGTATCTTGTAGTTATTTAGGATTTCAAAACTTGGCATAATTCAAATAATCTGTTTTTCCCCCCTTAGAACACTTCAGTTATGGAGGATCAAAATGAAGATGAGTCCCCAAAGAAAAATACTCTTTGGCAGGTAGGAATGACTGCACAAGATAAGCTAGCAATTGAGTTAATGTAGATTAATAAAAGGATCCCTCAGCTGTTGTTCTCAAGGAAAACAAGAGCTAAGCAGTTTTGTTTTCCTTTGTGTAGTTTTGCAATCCACCTTAATTTATCTTCCTTTCCTTAGGTAAGTGTTAATATAAATAGTAAAGAATAAAGCATTTTGGAGTTTTCACATCAATTCTAAAGTGTCTATGCCCTAAACTGTTTGTGTCTATGGTCTAAGCAAGAGGTGGTGAATGATGGCATCTGTTGTCAATGGAATGGTACATGCTACATACCAGTATATACATCAACCATTTTTTCTTCTCCTTGCCACCCCTTCCCACCTTCACCCTTCTTTTCCATTAAAAAGTACTGGTTTTCTTTTCTGTCTTGGCTTTTGTTTTTAATTTTTAGTTTGGCAGTCTTTTTTTTTTTTTTTTTTTGCAGTTGGGCATGTTAAATTGTCACAGTTTGGAGTCTTCATTAACCATTACGGTATACAATCTTTCCCTATATGAAGGCATGATTAAAGGCAAAGCAATCTAAATCTGAAGAGAAAAATGTTAAAACAAACCTAGGTTCATTTGATTTGAAACTAAGAGGCAGGTTAATTAGCCTAGAATAAACTGCTCCCATCAAATTTAAGATGAAATTAAACAAAGCAAAACAATGCCAAGAAGTTGTTTCTGGTTGAGGTGTAGGGGTTAGAAATAGAAATTTGAAAATGTGCTATAGAATAGTGCACATGCCACCTGTGTTTTTTCCCCCAAAACATTTTGTTGATATTTAGTTTGTTGCTTCACTTGCCTTTTTTCTTTTTGTAATAGGATTCTGTTCATTTATTATTTTTTATTTCTGCCCTCTCCCCAGCTCACAGTGGTTTTTAACACAATTGTTTTCTTTGTCTCCCATTCAACTTGTTTACAAATGCTCTTGGGAGACTTGATGGCTAGGAACCCTTCTGTAAATGAAATATTACTGTCACATGAGATAATGGGTGTGACAGTACTTTGTAAATGTTAAAAGTACACAGATGCAAATGGTTACATCTGGTAAATTTTTAGTGGCTTCCTTTTTAGAGTATTTTGAGCCTGTTAATGAAAGGAATTATTTTTGGCATTATTGTTGTGGAAAATACAGAAAGAAAGGAGAAAAGAATGCTATATATATATATATATGTTGTTGTTATTAAGAGCCGTCGAGTCGGTTCCGACCCATAGTGACCCTGTACAGGGTTTCCGAGGGTGTAAATATATATATATAGCATTCTTCTTCAAGATTGTCGTTAAATGCTGTCAAGTCCATTCTGTAGCGACCCTGTGGAGGGTTTTCTGAAGAATGGCTGGTGGGTTTGAACCGAGGACCTTATGGCTGTCAGTCCAGTGCTTATCCTACCTCATTATACCAGGACTGCTTTTGAAGATTGTTGTACGTGCTGTCGAGTTGGTTCTGATGACTCATAGCAACCCTGTATAGGGTTTCCAAGGAGCAGCTAGTGGGTTTGAACTGCTGGTTCATGGTCCAGTGCTCATCCTACAGCACCATACTAGGAGTCCGTTTTAAAGATTGTTATTGTCGTTAAGTGCCATTGAGTTGGTTCCAGAGCTGACTCTGTAGGGTTTCTGAGGAGCGGCTGGTGAGCTTTAACTGCTGACCTTGAGCTTCAAATCGACTTTTCAGTCAAGAGCTAACATCCGCAGTGCCAATCCCAGGACTCCCTGATTGGGCACTTGACATTTTTTGATGTACATTTTTGACTCTATATTGATATGCTCCCCTTTCACATAAATTGTTGTGATTACAATGCGTTATGAAATTCTGGATCTTGCTTTTTGTTCCTTAATGTGAATTTGTTAGCATGTACTGTTATATCCTTATTTTATAAATCTAATTTTAATGGCTCTTATTAGAACATACCTCAGAGATGTGGGTTCAGTTCCAAACTCCCTCAACAAAGTGGATATTACATTAAAGCGAGTCACAGCAGTTATTTTGTTTCCCGGTACATATAAAGTTATGTGAAAGTATAGTGTAGTCCAGTCCCTTAAGTGTACCATCGCATTATGAAAAAGTTTGAAATGCGATGCAGAGCTACAGAGTGAGCACATGCTGTTGGAAAAGTGGCGCCAGTAGACTTGATTGACTCAGGGTTGCCATATACTTTCAACGTGTAAACAATGCAGTATCTTTAAAGTGCAGTGCAATAAAATAAGGGATACCTGTGATTGATTTGCTTTAACGGACTCACTGTCATTCTGTAGACATGTCAACTCCTAGCTGTAAATCTTTACAGGAGCAGAAAGCTTCATCTTCTTCCCATTTCTTTAACTGTTGTTGTTGTTGTTAAGTTCCTTTGACTCAGTTCCAACCCACAGTGACCCTGTATAGGGTTTCCAAGGAGCAGCTGGTGAGCTTGAATTGCCGACCTTGCAGAACAAACTGACTTTGCAGTTCAGTGCATTATAAATAGGTTGTTGGAGTTATTTATAAATTTTCTGTCTTAATTAACATTGTGGTGAAATCTTTTTGCTTAAGCAGCAAAGATGTACCTTATACTTTCCAATTTTACCTTACCAAAAATTTCATTTCCGCTCTAATTGGGTTGAACTGTTGATTTACCATCTGAGTGTCTAATTACATCAAATTTTGACTTTGTTCTGTGCTTCCCCCTTGTGGTACCTAGTGTCAGTGCAATCTTCCTGACCAAAGACAAAACCCAAACCTGTTGCTGTCAAGAGGATTCTGACTCATAGCGATCCTATAGGACACAGTAGAACTTTTCCATAGGGTTTCCAAGGCTGTCCTGCCTCACCACTGGACCAATAACATTCTTATCAACGTTGAAAAGATGAAGCTGTCAAGGACTTCATTCTTCTTGGATCAACTATCAACACTCAAGGAAGCAGCAGTCAAGAAATCAAATGACGTATTGCATTAGGCAAATCTGCTGCACAAGACCTTTTTAAAGTGTTGAAGAGCAGAGATGTCAGCTTGAGGACTAAAGACACATGCTTGACCCAAGCCATGGTATTTTCAATAACCTCATATGCATGTGAAAGCTGGACAGTGAATAAGGAAGATCGCAGAAGAATTGATCTTTTGAATTATGGTGTTGGAGAAGAGTATTGAAAGTGCCATGGGCTGCCGAAAGAACCAACAGATCTGTTTTGGAGGAAGTGCAGCCAGAATGCTCCTTGGAGGCCAAGATAGCTAAACTTCGTCACTCATACTTTGAACATATTGTCAGAAGGGACCAGTCTCTGGAGTAGGATATCATGTTTGGTAAGGTGGAGGGTCAGAGAAAAAGAGGAAGAGCCCCAGAGAGATGGATTGACAAAGTAGCAGCATTGATGGGCTCAAGTGTGGCAACAGTAGTGAGGTTGTTGGCCCAGGACTGGGCAGTGTTTTGTTCTATTGTGCATTGGGTCGCTATCAGTTGGTACCGACTCTATGGCACCTAACAAGAACAACAAAAGTTTCTGGAAGCAGACTGCTACATCTTTCAACTAGTGAGCTCAAACCACTGACCTTGCATTTGCATATGAGCATTGAACTACTGTGCTACCAGGACTTCTGTAACCCATGATGCACAGGAACAAAACTTGCCTAGACAGTGGGGTGGTAAGATAAACAACGTGAGAGATTAAATACCTTCCTGCTTTGTACCTCTCAATGTGGGCATAAGAACTTGCTTTAGACATCATAGAGTTTGTAAGAATTTTAAAGTTAGGGGACATACTGATAACAAAAGCTCTTGGTTCTTTCTGTGTAAGACTTCTGTGATAGGCTCCTAATAGAATTAATGAAAGTTCATAATAGAATTCTTCAGTTTTCAAAATCCTCTTACAGGTTCTTCCTTCGATATTATATGCTAAAGGACTGTCAAGAGAAGTAATGGATATAGAAGACTTACCAAATGTGTAGTCCAAGTGTTGAGGTTGTTTTATTGAAGAAGGAATTTTCTGAGCCTCATAGCATTAATAGTAATTGTGGCTTGTATTTTGATGCTGTTGTTCTGATGCAATATATGGAGTTTCAAAAAAATTTAAAAACATTTAATATATATATTTGTTGTTAAGTGCCATCAAGTCGGTTCTGAGCCATAGTGATCCTGTATTGGGTTTCCGAAGAGCAGCTGATGAGCTTGAACAACTGACTTTGCAGTTCAAACTGCTTTGCAGTTTGGCGCATTAACCCACAGTGCCACACCAGGACTACATATATAGTAGATATGTTGTTGTTGTTGTTGTTATGTGCCGTCAAGTCCATTCCGACCCTTAGCAACCCTATACAGGGTTTCCGAGGCTGTAAATCTTTATAGGAGCAGAAAGCCTCATCTTTCGCCCGTGGAGCAGCTGGTAGTTTCAAATTGCTGATCTTAAGGTTTGCACCATGCTACCAGAGATATATAGGTATAGCTGTATAGGTGTGTGCATCTCTCTCTCTCTCTCTCTCTGTCTGTCTCGCTCTCCGTCCCTCCCTCCCTCCCTCTGTGTGTCACACATAGACACATACCTCATGTTAGTGCATTTTGCTATATTGCGCTAAGATATCGCCCCCACCCCCTATTGAAACAGGTTGAAAGTTTGTAGTAAACCTGTGTTGATCAAATTTGTTGGTACCATTTTGCTAACATGCTGTTGCACTTTTCATAGACTACAGCATAGTGTCAACATAACTTTAACATGCACTGGGAAACAAAAAAATTTTGAGTGACTGGCTTAGTTATGATAACCGCTTTGCTGCAGTGATCTGGAACCAAATGTTGCTAAGTGCTGTTGAGTCGATCCTGACTCATAACAACCCTGTATTAGGTTTCTGAGGACTGGCTGATGGGATTGAAACATGGATCTTGTAGTTAGTTTACCCTACAGTGCCACAACAGGACCCCTAGCCAGTACAGTATGATTTATCCAAGGCCATGTAGGTAGATTTAATGGGAATGCATTGTTAGTGTAGAAATCTATGGATTATCCACAAGCCAACTACTAGATGAACTTTCAGACATTCATAGTTTACCTGAGTAAGTGATCAAAAAAAGAAAGAGAAAGTCTAAACTTTCCCCAGCAGTTTAGACTCACTGGGAAACTACATGGAGATTGAAACTATTAGATTGAATTGCCGTCCAGTTTCAGCACACAGGCTGTTTATCTTTTTTATTAGATAGATCAGTGTTTCTGAGTGTGGTCTCTGCCCTAACAGTATGGATGTCATCTGGGAACTTGTTAGAAGAAATGCAGAAGGACAGAATCAGAGCCCCCGGGGGTAGGGCTTTGCAGTCTCTGTGTTAACAAAGTTTCTGTGTGATTCTGATATGCATGCAAGATTGAGAACTTTTGACTTGGACTGTGTGTAGCATTAGCCTTCAACTCTGAGGAAACAAAACAAACTTATTAATACTCTTGTCAGTTGCCACTTTACCAACTTCAGTAGTTCCTCTCCGATGGTCATCTCCAGTATTAGCTAGATAACAGCATGCTTCTAGAACAAGCTTTGGAGAAAGAGGGTTTAAGATGCCATTTAACTTCAGCATTTACTTTAGTGACAAATTTGAGGACACATGGGCTTTGAATATATTTTTAATTACTTTTGAATGAATTAATAAAGGGATGAGTTTGGCTTTAGGCTAAAACTGGTATTTTAAGATTAAATACTCAGACTGAAAAATGTTTCTGATGAAATGTTAATTAGATTTATTTCCCTTGCCAAACTAATTATTGTTTTTTTTCCCTTCTGAAATAGATAAGTAATGGCACATCATCTGTGATCGTCTCCAGAAAGAGGCCATCAGAAGGCAACTACCAGAAAGAAAAAGACTTGTGTATTAAGTATTTCGACCAGTGGTCTGAGTCAGATCAAGTGGAATTTGTGGAACATCTTATTTCACGAATGTGTCATTATCAGCATGGCCATATTAACTCTTATCTGAAGCCCATGTTGCAGCGGGACTTTATTACCGCTTTACCAGGTAACTACTTTTGTCTTTTATTCTTTCTCTCTGCCTCTCTACCCATCTTTTCCCCCCACCTCCTTTTTAAATTTAAAATTGGCCTGGTGTGGTGCTGTAGGGAGAAGCTTGGGACTGCGAACCACAAGGTTGGCAGTTCAAATCCTATACAGGATTGCTATGAGTCAGAATCAACTCGATGGCACTTAACAACAACAGGTTTAGAAGGAAGTCCCTGAGTGGTGTAAATGATTGACACATGCTTAACTACTAATGGAAATACTGGAGGGTAAAGTTTGCTCAGAGGTGCCGCAGAATAAAAGCCTGGTGGTTTATTCTGAAAAATTGACTGAGAACAGTTTTACTCTGACACGCCTGGAGTCGAGGTTGACACAGTAGTGACTGGCTAGGTTAGATGCAGAGATTTCACTTCTGAAGAGAATGCTTATCAGAACATTTGCTTTAGTATGACCATGAACTCTCATGCTAACACAGACATGGAAATAGACAGGAATGACCCATTGTCATTGCCACCAGATATCCTCTTTGTGAGCGCTAATAGGGAGCTTCTTCAAAGAGTAGCTGTTCCCTTAGCTTGACCGTGGGACACAGTGCAGCTGGCCTCCATGTTTTAAGTGCTACCACAGCAAACCAAACTTGACTTTAGATCTCAAACCTGCAACCTGGGGCTGCAAATGGACAGACAGACCAGCTTCTGATTTCATTCTCTTCCAAAACTTGTGAGTTAACTTTCTACAGTAGAGATGGAAAAAGATATTTGAGAGTTAGCTTAGTAGTAGTGTGAATTTTTGTGCTGAAATAAAGCATGACTTGCTCAGTTTCTACCTTTAGTATCGCAAGGAAAGCAAAATATAACCTCTATCTTTGTAGAACTGTGTGTAGTACGCTAGAGGGCTCTTTGCCATCACTTAGTCATGTTTCTTGTATAAATTAGGAAGGCAAGGATAAGAGAAATTAAGTGAAATGCCCAAGATCATCCATCTTGGTCATTGTGGTAATGGTATTGTTGAAGGGAGCAAGGGGGAAGTTTATTCAAAAGTTAGTGCAACAGCTGAAGTCACTTACAATTAAGATTACTCTGAAATGTTCCAGAAACTGGCCATAAACATAGAGTACATGGTATACATCCTAGTTCAGTGATAATTGCTTTTAGTTACAGGAAAGAGAGGGCAAGACAGACAGAGATGTTTTTAAATTTATTTTTTAAATGTTTTATTGTGAATTATGTGATAGTTTACATGGGAGAACATTAGCTTTACTTTCATCCTATTGTATATCGTTTCATTGCCATGGTTACAATCCCCTCTATGCATCATCAACCAACTAAAGGGTACACCCTGCAAGCCTACCCCCCAGTCATCCGCACACAGCCCTTCTCCCTCTCTGGGTCTAGAGTCTCCCTAGCTGCTCCACAGAGATGTTTTAAAATTATTTAAGAGAGAAGATTATAGGGGAATTTAGTAAGATGAGTGCACTTGTAGTGCATCTCCTCTGTACTGTCTTATGTCCAGAACCTAGAACTTAAATTGTCCAAGACTTTCTATTGAGTCAGGCAGCGCCTCAAGCCAAGAAAAGACATGGTCATATAGTTTTCAAGGTCAGCAATTACACTTGTTCCTCATAAGTGCTTTATAAATAAATGAGACTATGTTTCTTTCCTCCTCAAGCAAATTACTGTTTTATTGTTTGCTTTATGCTGTTTTGGTTTTATCTCTCCCCACCCCCCCCACAATAATTAGCTTCTCAAACATTTAGAGTGCCAGGTACCTCACTTTGTAGACTATCCACGAGGTGGCACTGTTGGAGCTCTCTTGATTTGCAGAGTATAGATCAGAGCCAGTCCTTTCTTTTGGGGAGTATACAATCTTGGAGAAGAGACAGAACAGATGAACATGTGTTATGTATATAAATATGGTTAATATAATTGCATACAATTCAGTTTTCATTACAACGACTTTTAAGGCATTCTCCATATCTGTGCTGAAGTGGAATTTTGTGGTGCTGAATATTACATAAAATGAATGGACCATTGATGGGGACGTGGAAATATTTTTGTTAAAATGGTATTTGTTTTATGAGGATTTGATCTGAACATATATACATTTGTCAGTATGTAGCATACATATGAATCTTAATAGCTGGAACCAAGCTGATTGTGTTAGTGTCTAATTGACTTGGATTAACCAGACATTATTAGTTCCTTAGGACAGACTTGCTTTAAGAGATTAGGGAACAACAGGCCCATGTTTATGTTCATACTTTGATTTAACATTGTAGGGAGCAACTTAGTTATTGTTACTTAGATTGGTGTATAACTTGTACTGTAGGTGATGTTCTTGAGTTTGAATTTTTCCCCTATTGAAATCAATAGTCAATCTGACTTCTTTTAATTGTAAAAGACATTTATTCTATAAGAATTGTTTATAGTTTTGGCTTTTGAATGCTTTCAGTGAATATTGTACCTGTCAGAATAGGGAAAATGGAAAATGTTTGTGGTCTCTGGCTCCTTTTGGTTCAGTGGAAAAAGTGATAATTATGATACGCTTTTCTAAAAATCATGGTAAATGTTTAGTCTGCAATGTCAATTTCTGCAGGCTAAGTTTGCGGTTTGTAAGAATTGTTGTTAAAAGGAAAATGTATACCATCGAAAGTAGAGGCAAAGTATACTTCAAAAGAGATAATGCAGTTTGATGGTCACTTTGGTGAAGTGTCTAAACAGTTAGGAGTTTAAAAACTCGCTTCTGATCATTGTTCTTTTGTGTTATCTTCAAGTAAGACTGATAAACCATCATGACTGTAACTGTGATAGAAACTTGTTACATCTAGGCCTTCAGGCTGGATGCAGGGCCAAAGCCTCAGCATGACCTCATTGGACAGGCCTGGGTCTTGGATGTAGAGAGTCCCTAGGTTTGGATCCCAACCTTTGTTTTTAAGAGCTCTGTTTCCTCATTTTGGTGAGAATAATTAAAGTAACAAAACAAACTTCATGGAGAATAGTACTTATCTGCTAACTGAAAGATTGGTGGTTTGAACCTACCAACTGCCTCACGGAAAGAAAAATGTGTGACAGTCTGTATCTGTGAAGATTGTTGTTGTATGTGCCTTTGAATCGTTTTCAATTTATAATGACTCTGTATACTGTTTCTGAGGAATGACTGGTGGATTTGAACTGCTGTCCTTACGGCCTTGCTTATCCTACAGCATGTTGGAAACTTTCTACAAATCAGAATGGACTTGAGGGCAACAGATTTGGTTTGGGTTTTTGACGGATAGTGTGAGGATTTAAAGTCAATGTATGTATGTAATATGCCTGGCATCTAGTGGGTACTCTGAGGATGTCAGCTTTTTATAAAAAGAAAAAAAAAAACAGAGAGGAAAAAGTCCAGAGAGCAGGAAACACCTGCTTCTCCAGAGGTAATAAGATTTATTGCTAGGAAGTTTTAATTATTCACCCACTAAGTTTCGAACTGATTCATCCTGACATCATATTTAGGTGTGTGCCACTTTGTTGTTTTGACCGAAAAGAAATGTTGGATTTAGAGACCTGAGCATCTTTTTACTACATTTCTGTCTGAATCCCTGGGTCATTGCATCCCAAGTTAAATGCATCCAGTGACAGACTGTTGAGTCAGCTATTTAATTGTTTTTCTTTGAAAAGGTTTCTAACTTCACATTTTACAACTTGAGCTGTGACTAGGAAGGGGGACGGCATGGCTGTAGTGGGTAGGGAAGGAAGTTTCTTAGCAGCTGCTCTTTGAAATGCGTTTCTAAGAGTTTCTGTAATTGTATGATCTAAGCAGCTGTGTTAAAACTGGCTGTAGTCAAGGGCATTGAACTGACATTACACATTTGAATTTCATTTTGATACAGTGTTATTTACATGTTGAGCTTTGAGATTTGTGCCTTTTAATTGTTTTAATTTATTATTGAAATTTTTCCAGCCCTTCATCTGGTCCTCTAATTAGCAACAGCAACAATTCTTCCACACTGTGTGTGCAGTATTCTGTCCTCATTTGCTGAGGCCAGAATGTCCTCTTGTTGTTGCCTTGGGAAAGGGGGGAGTCATGCCATGATAGAGTAACAAGAGCCAGACATTTGTACTTAAGACAAATGCCTTTTAAAAAAGAATACCTCAAATAACTTTTTAGCATGGACATATGGACTACCTTATTCAGTAATCTCTTTGCCCTGAATAGGCTTGAAACCAGAAAGTTACAGGGTCTGTCTATTCATGGTGCCTAAGTAGAGGTTGTATGATTCCTATTCTTCTCAAAACATATAAAGCAGTATGGGACTTATACCAAGAAATTAGAGTGCTTAGCCTTGTATTAGAGGTATGTGTAGTATTTTCTCTGCAGAAAATAGTAAAAGAGAGGAATTATACTTAAACTCCTTGCCCCCATCAGTGTTAGCTAAGCAAGGGTGATTGGGCAAGAAGGGAGAGAGAGAACTGCTTCTGTGTTTCCTTGCCTTACTAACCTTCCCAACAAACCTGTGAGTTCCCACTTTGTAAATGAGGCTATTGGGAATAGTGGTCTCAAAGGATTATTGTGCAGTTTACATGCAATAATTTCAAGCATTTGAATACATTCCTATTTTATATAAACTTGGACAGAAGATAGAAGAAAGGGCAACAAAGTCATGGAAATATACCAAAAGGAAGCTAAGTCTACGAGAATGGCCAAAGCCTGAATAATGTAAAATTGTCCAAAATACTTAAGTAATCTAGAAGAGTTGAAAACAAAATAAACTAGTGGGAGAAAAATCATAAAGAATGAAGGAATATTTTGCTTGAATATCATATTAATGAGTTTATTTTTATCCTCATTTAACTTATCTACCACTACCCTGCCTCCCCTCCCGCCCCCTGGGATAATGGCTTTTAAAAACCAGAAAGGATAGAGAAAACTGTGGTTCAAGAAAACTGCAAGATAATGAGGTATGTGCACCATGGAATGGTCAACCATTCAACATCAAAAACATTTACCTAAGGACAAAAT